ATCACAATGTAGTGGTTAAAGAGCTTCTGCTAAAGTGATTGCAGCCTTGATAATAAACACATTAGTAGAAAGTAGGGAAATTAATTACAGCAAGAATTTTATTACTTAGAAGTAAAAATGCAAAGATGGCATCATAATGCAATTATCATTTTCGTGGAAGATGTGATGATCGAACACCTGAGCAAATGTTTGGCTTTGACAAAAAATAACATCTCAAACTGATTTGTTTATCAAGCATTTACAAGATTTTGATGTCTCATTGAGTTTCCTATTTTTCTGTATTTCTAATTAGTCCATTCTTCTTTTGTGAAGAAAAAAAAAGATTGATTTACCTCTTGACTTGACAAGTATAGAGATATATTGCTAGGAATCCTTGTTTCAAGTTACTTTTAAGATTTTCTTTTGGCCACAATGGTATGTTTCTTAATACTTGCTTATATAATAAATCCACGTAGTAACACAAGCAGAACTTGATATTACTTTTTATCTAAAGTTATACTTCTTCTCCTTTGAGCTCCATAACTCATGTGACAAGTATTATCTTGATCGATATGTAATATGTATTATTTATCTTATGAACTAAATTAATATGGAGCTTTCATTTCATAAATATGGGAATTTATTCCATCTATTGACTATTGTATTGTTGCGGACAATTGAAAGCTATTTTCATGGGATTTTTTGCAAGGATAACTCAAACATTCTTCGACCTGAAGGAGAATCCGCGTAGATGATGTCTTAAGATCTACAAGAAGACTTTAACCACCAGGTCCACCCTCATAGTCCCCTCCAACGATATCTCGTAATTCCTTGATCTATTCAATCAGTATACTAATTTTGACGACCATGATGTTTTTAGCAAACTCCAACTTGACACTAAGGCACCTATAGAAACTGCATACACATATACACCCACCCCAAACATTGTATTGGTCCCCCTAATTTTATTTCTCGTCTATGTTCTTCTAGGGTTTATCCTTGAAGGTATTTTATGTTTACACTGGTGACATAATAGAAGGGGTTTCTTTTTGAAGGTTAGTTTCTTCCTTTTCCCATTTACTATCTAATTTCTATGTTCTCTTGTATTTGTACGAGGCCAACATTTTCTAATTATTACATAAGAGATTGCTATTTTTGTTAATTTGGAGTTCTCAGAGGTTTTTGTCTACCTGTAGACTCTATATTAAGATGGGCAGTGGAGGTTTTCCTAGTATCTTTCTGCTATTGATTATACCAAATGGCACGGTAGGTGTTTGATAGGATTTTAAAATTTTATTTTTTCCAGGTCGTTGTTTAAGCTTTTTTGTTTGCTTAAGTAGTTATATATGGTATCAATTCTATTTTTGTACTTTTTATTCGTATTTTTATGGAAGATTTGAATAAAGGGATTTTATTGTTTAATTTACATGCCTTCAGAATAGAATTCTTTAATTATACACTGTATTGTATGATGATAAGAGACTCACCCAGAATGTGATGTCATTGCATGTACAACTTAGTCGATGGTGCTGACTCGGGCAATATTTATTGAAGGTTGTAAATTAGTGGGTGCAAGAATGAATTAATGGACTTGCTCAGTGGTATAAATATGCCTATTGATGCTGTATTTCATATTTGAAGAGCATAGCAGTACTGACAAGTACACCTAAAGAGATTACACATGTGAGTGGCTTAGCAAGAATATTTTTTAACTATTTTGAATGAATTCGCTAGAAAAATGACCACTATGTTTGAAACCTTGCTTTATGATTATATTTGAAGAAAACAAGGTTTGTGCTTAATCTATTGTTGGCACATAAAAATTATTGGTACAACTGAAAAAGAATGTGCTTGCCTGTATGTTCCTTCACTTAGAGCCATTCAACATTGTCCAATGTAAAACTGGTTTTCACACGTTCTTAGACTTAATTCCACTAAACTGAGAAATGTATACTTGAAATTGTTTCTGATTTTATTTGGTGCACCATTTTTGTAATTTTCTAATAATTAATCACTTTGGGAGGCAATTTCTTAACTTGGATACTAGTGTTCTTTTCACTTTTTTTTTTGCTCTAATTCGTTTATCTGAATTCTAGGTGGGCATTATCTTTGCAATTGGTGAATAAGAAAATTGGGAAACTGATAGCACGGACAATGGAGAAAGTCGATAAGGAATGAATCATCACTATTGTTATAAATATGCTGCATTTTGGAACTCTCCATATGTAATTTTCTATGCATGATGGAGGGTAAGTCACCTGCAATCATGCAGGATGGAAATTTTAAGGATGATGAGTTGGAAGTGGTGGAAAGGATGAAACCAGCTCGTCGTTATAAATCTCCTTATTTTGTTACGGAAGAGAAGAGTAAAAAATGTGTATTGTAAATCTTGTATTTATGGAGGTCGGATTTTTCTAACTCTTTCTCATCCTTTCATATGATCTAAATTTTTACTTCAATTCTTCACTTTCTTTGTTTGTTTGTAATTGATTCTCATTTGCTATGTCTTGCAGTGAGGTAATTTTCCTCGTGTCAAAATGAGATAAATCTATTTCCAAAACCTAACTTCTACAGATAGTGGTTTTGAAAAAAAAAAAAAAAAACATTAAATTTACAGAAATGCAAATAAGATGTGTAGTGAGTTGAGCCTGAACAAAAAATGGTTTCACCTTCTCTTAGTCTAAATCATGGAGTTTTATTGTTGGGGTTTCTAAAACGACCACCGATAGCTAACCTTACATCATCAACAATTTAATGATGAATTGGACAGAACAATGTATGCAAACCTCCAATAAGGTGCAAGTCTTTTTTTCTCAATATCTTAAGAATTTCAAACTATTCACACAGTTTAGACGTAATCACGTTACTAATAGATTCAACTTTTCTTACATACTTGCCTAAAGTAATCAAACACGTACACTATATAGTTTTTTAAATTTTGGTTTAGAAGATGGTAATTTTTTAGATAGTATGAGCATTCTTCACTTTAAGTTTATTTAACTAACTGCAGGCACAAGTGATAACTATATACCAATGAACATTAGAATCGTAATTTGAAGATTTTATTCAAATAACAATCATGTTTTGAAAGTAATACTTTTCTTGTTCGTCCTATAAGCCCTTCGTTCTAGCCTCTCTTCGAACAACTCTGAGAATGATTAGAGGCATCAAAATCAGTAAACTTCACACATGAAAGATATATCTACATCTATTAATTCTACGTACCTAATAAATTTTATTTGCTCATGCTTATTACAAGCTTCCTTGGCACGAAAGGTTTTCCATCATGTAGTTCTGACGAGACAACATCAATATGGAATATTAGGATTGTATTATAAGTTTTTACAATAAGTAACATCACTAAAGAAAACTGTCATTTTCTTTTCTTGCCATTATTATTTGTAGTTTGTTTTGGAGGACTTTGGCATGTTGCTATTTAATGTGCTCAATCATCTTTGTGTTCTAATGAACCATTACATTTCTTATTTACCGATTCTTGCTGTAACTTTTATTCTTTCGTCCCTGAAATATTTGGCCAGTTGTCAATGTCAGTTAATTGGTAGAGTGTATCATTTTCATTCATGTTTCTTTTTCTGTTTATGTTATAATGTTATCCATTAGGTCATAGGACTGGCTTACCATAAATGTGAACATATGCATGCGAACGTGTTACGTTAAGCTTTCGATGTTTTCTTTCCTCCAATAATCGTATGATGTTATTGATTAGGTATCAGGATTGAGTTATAATGTAAATAAACATATTTATCAGGACACTTTAGCTATTAGGCAGCTTAAAAGTTGAAAAAGTGGTAAATGAAAAGGCTGTCCAGCTATGACATACTATCGAAATGCTGTTGTGAATGAGGAAGATTGTGTTGATGTTGTTGGTGATGATAAAATAGTCTCATTGTGCTTGAAATTCCATTACAAATATTTATTTTTAGGTTTTTTCAAGCTTATTCCTCTATAGTTATGCTAACATGATTAATTTTTTAAGGGATAGCATAAAGTAGGATCCTTGAATTTGTTGATCTCATTTTGTTTCATAATTTTTGGTAGATTTTGAGGTTCCTACAATTTTGAATTGCATGGCAGAAGTAATCTTCTCGTCACTAGGAAGATCAAGCATAATTCTACAGCTTGGATTCCTGGGAATCTTGATTCATTTTGCTTACAATCCATCATTAGATATGCTAACATTACTTTCAAAACAGCACAACCCGTGCATTGCACGGGGCAAAGACTAGTAAATATATAAATTAAAAAATTTTGAGTACATTTCATGCAATTCAAAAATCCGTATCCTTTTCAGCAACTCTAAATTTCCTTTATAAAAGATGTTCTCTATTTTAAAGAGGGGATGCATAAGAGGTTATTGATTTTAATTTTTTAAAATAGAATCATATTTTATTTTCTAAATTTAAAGAGCAATTTCTTATATTATTCAAATTATGGTTGAATTGAATTTCTATTTACATGTAAAAAAAAGTGTGTTAATGAAAAATGAAGAAAAATTGATAAATATTTTTGAAAAAAGTAAAATAAAGAGTTAAAATAGAGAGTAGTGTGTTGAATCTTTTAAAGAGCAACGCCACTATTCTTGAACAATTTGTAGCTGAGCCTTCTTTTCGCACCATTTCGGATATGTTTACTATTTAAATTTAAATATTCTCTCTATTAAATATAAGATATTCTTTATATTATTCAAATTATGGTTGAATTGAATTTCTATTTACATGTAAAAAAAAGTGTGTTAATGAAAAATGAAGAAAAATTGATAAATATTTTTGAAAAAAGTAAAATAAAGAGTTAAAATAGAGAGTAGTGTGTTGAATCTTTTAAAGAGCAACGCCACTATTCTTGAACAATTTGTAGCTGAGCCTTCTTTTCGCACTATTTCGGATATGTTTACTATTTAAATTTAAATATTCTCTCTATTAAATATAAGATATTCTTTATAAATACAGAATATATTCTGGCGTTATTATCTACAATAAAATAAAAGTTGAAATAGTTGAGAATCTTGAAACTGAGGGGTCTAAACGTTATTATGTAAGAACTCTGGGTGCCAACAAGCAATATACTATTCATACTATCAAACCTGCAGTTCAGACCAAACCGCAGTTTCGATCGAAGAAAACCTACGACCCGCAGTTCTGTTCGAATAAACCAACCTCCTCCGAACCCGCGGTTCAGTTCTCATCCTCCTCGTCCTCTCGCAGTTCAGTTCGAATAAAGCCTACAACCTGCAGTTGCAGTTCAGTTCGAATACAACCTCCTACGAACCCGCAGTTCAGTTTTCATCCTCTCTCCTTGTTGGTCTTTTCTAAATTTCTTCACAAGAAAATAGCAAAATGGCATCTATTTCTTATAGTTCTGCAGTTGCCAATAATGCGAGTAAATTCCTTAACAGCCATAATCAATTCAATTCGGTGGCAAAAATATTCACTCCCAGTAATTACCGAAGTTGTTTTAATGTCCGGCCCATCAATTTTGATGCTGCCAAAAATAGTATTGATGTTAAATACTTTCAATTTCGCTGGAGTTCTCGCCGTGGTCTTGCCGGAGGAGGCTGTAATCAATCTCTGACCACCGTTTTTAACAGCCTTTCATCTAATAATGGGCTCCCTGCTTCTGGTAAAATCTTATTCCTTTTAGGTTCATCTATAGTTTTTGAAGGCACATTTGCAACGTATATGTGTGAAAATTTCAAGGTCTCGATTTTTCTATTTATTAAATAGTTGTCTGATCTATTTTATTAAACATGTCATTCGTGAGAAATTTAACAAACCTGAAGGTGGAAGTAAAAAATAATTGTCATCTTTTCGCTTTGATTAACAGAACATCAAGGGGGGCAACACGTGCATTGTTTTCGTCATTATCTGAATATGCATCGTCGTCTTAGTCTGCCTACATTCGTTTTCAACACTTCTTGCATAACCATTGTATATCTATGGAATTGTTACAATTATTTGGTGTGTTAGTATAAGAGAGGGCTAGAAGAATGTTTGGGCATCAGGTTGATCGTCCGTGTATTTCAATACTTGGAATTATCCATTATATTTCGAGTATTTTATAAATGGAATCATTCGTGAGTTGACAATACAAAATTTTGTAAAGTTTAATAAGAGTTCTATCTTATATCTGTTATTTTCTGGGATTTTATTCTTCCTGCTTTGCAACAACAATTTTTCCAGGAAATAAAAGCATAATTCTGATAATTAAAATTATATTCTGAAATTATAGAATGGAGATTTTCTGAGATATTGAAAAGTCCCGATTTTTTCGAAATATTTATGCCTGCAAACTACAGAATGTAAACTCATTAATTTTTCTTGATGCCACTGCTCCAAAAAATAGAAAGTAACTGCAGCTTCTTCTTATTCCTGCCAATTCACTGGACGCTATATCATAATTTTTTCTATATCATTTTTCTGAATTCTGAATGTTATCATAATTTCCCCTTAAATTCTTAGTGTTCGAATTGCAGAATATTCATAGTACTGGACTGAACCAGCCATGCGCTGCTCTTAGTCTTATATAAAACAAACAATTTTTGGATTGACATATGTTATTCTATTCATTGGGCCTGTTTACAATGATTTCGCAGAAGAAAGAGTGGTGGTGTTGGTTATTGGTGGAGGAGGAAGGGAGCATGCAATTTGTTATGCCTTACACCGATCTCCCTCTTGTGATGCTGTGTTTTGTGCCCCTGGAAATTGTGGAATTTCCAACTCGGGGGATGCAACTTGTATCTCGGAGCTTGATATCTCTGATAGCTCCGCAGTCATTGCCTTTTGCCGCGAGTGGGGAGTTGGACTGGTTGTTGTGGGACCAGAGGCTCCTCTTGTTGCAGGTCTTGCTAATGACCTTGTCAAGGCTGGGATTCCTACTTTTGGCCCTTCTTCTGAGGCTGCTGCTTTAGAAGGTTCAAAGGACTTCATGAAGAGGTTGTGTGATAAATATGGAATTCCAACAGCTAAGGTTCATCCTTCATTTCAGTCTCAATTACTAGTGTTGGATTACTAGATAGTGCTATTTTGATAATTTCCTTTCCTTGTCCGTACTGTACTCGGTGCAGTATCAATCGTTCACAGATCCATCTGCTGCAAAAGCGTATATAAAAGAGCAAGGGGCTCCCATTGTTGTTAAAGCAGACGGATTGGCTGCTGGGAAAGGAGTTGTTGTGGCCATGACACTGGAGGAAGCGTACGAAGCCGTCGACTCGATGCTTGTGAGAAGTATTTTTGGCTCTGCGGGTGGTCGTGTCGTCATTGAGGAATATCTTGAAGGAGAAGAAGCTTCATTCTTTGCTATAGTCGATGGAGAGAATGCAATAGCCCTGGAGTCGGCTCAGGACCATAAACGAGTCGGAGACGGTGATACAGGACCGAATACTGGTGGAATGGGAGCATACTCTCCGGCACCTGTCTTGACGAAAGAACTTCAATCCGTGGTCATGGAATCTATAATTTTCCCTACAGTGAAGGGAATGGCTGAAGAAGGTTGCAAGTTTGTGGGGGTTCTCTATGCTGGGCTCATGATTGAGAAGAAGTCTGGATTGCCAAAACTGATTGAATACAATGTGCGGTTTGGAGATCCGGAATGCCAGGTTAGTTATCAATTATCATAAATTGGTTTGTGCATGAAATCAATAGATTCTGTATATAACCCACATACTATGGTATGAGTGTCATATTATCTCACAAATTCAAAGAAAAATAGTAATAAGCACTGTATTCTGTTATAATTTGATGAGTTCCTACGATAATGGACTTTCCCATTGTGAAAGAAACAAGGTCGATTGTTTTGTACCATTTCTACTATCCTTTCCCTTGTTCTATACAATGATATTTCTCAATGTTCCAGTAAAAGGCAGCACACGACAGTTCGGTTCATGACTAATTGTCTAATTATTATATTTTACTGAGCTGAAGTATGCCGCTTTGTTGGGCCATGAACAATGAACATCACTCTCAAAATTTTGACAATACATCTTGTGAGTTTATATAGACTCTGAATACAGCGCTAACACCTTGGGGAAAGATTTAAAGTCAATATGATTTCAGTTTCTAGCATTTCTCTTGGTCTGCTTTGCTATCATTTTCTTGTGGAGTGACGGAACATATCATCTTTTCATCATGAAGTTCTAGAGTACCTTTCAGTACACAAATTGAGGAAGATGACTCCTAGTCACAAGTAAACTGGAACATGTTCTCATCACTTATATATCGTATGGTGAGAATGGATAGAGTCGAACAGGTTGCAAGAGTATCATGTTATATGAAATTGTACTGGTATTGGTGTACACACAATTGCTCTTGTAGATGGAAAAGTTGCTGGTTATCTATTGGCTGCATTTACATGTCCCATTAGCATGCTTAAGTAACAAAATTATATTCTACCAAACATCATGATTCTTTTGTGTCCTCAAAATATTACTAGTAAATTCTCTAATTGATATGCAGGTATTGATGGTTCGATTAGAGTCTGATTTGGCTCAAGTTCTCCTTGCGGCCTGCAAGGGAGAGCTAAGAGGTTTATCCGTGGACCACTCCACGGACTCAGCCATGGTTGTTGTCATGGCCAGCAAGGGGTACCCCGGAAGCTACGAAAAGGGAACAGTGATTCAAAACTTGGAAGAAGCAGAGCAAGTGGCTCCAAATGTCAAGGTATTTCATGCTGGTACAGCTCTCGACTCAAACGGGAACTTCATAGCTACAGGCGGACGTGTTCTTGGGGTCACAGTTAAAGGAAAGGATCTAGAAGAGGCAAGAGATAGAGCATACCAAGCTGTCGAGCAAATTAAATGGCCTGGAGGGTTCTATCGGCGAGATATTGGTTGGAGAGCTCTCTCACAGAAACAGGCCACAAAGGTGTGAAGTTTTGGGTTATAAGGTCAAATTTAGGCATCATAGCTCAACATGGTTTTAGCGAAAATGATCTGTGTTTGTACTGAAGTCATTCTTTTACAACTCGTATTTTTCCTTGTGAAGGAAGCTCGGGATTGATAAAGACAAGTTTTGAAATATACGATGTTATTCTGTAAATCTTCTTGTGAAGTATTTTGAACTTATTAAGAAAGAGAGGCCGTTTTCTTGGATAATCCTTGCTTACTTTGTTGATTTGCAGCTTCTTATAGGTGTCTGGCATTGCAACCGGGAACTATACTGTTAACACGGAGTCTTCTTTGCTAGATTAATTCCATATAACAAGAAGAATTTGCTGGATTTTGTATTTTGCAATTGTGAAAACACTTTTGAATGTCAAATTCCATTAATATTCCCACAATATTTTAGAAAAACAGAAAAAGGATGTAAATGTAATCAATTAGTTGTCAACTAATTTTGATTTTTCGATAAAGTCATGCCAACTAGTATGGTTTTGTACAAGAAATAAAAAGGAAATTCCCAATTTGCATCACTACGTGTAACGGGTTCCAGCTGGAATTCCCTCGGGAGCTGCTTCTGGTCGGTCTATCAGCCCGAAGTCAAAAATTTTGTTGTCTGTGCCTACAAAAATTTTATATTCACTTTTATTCATATATTCACACCCACTCCACATTATTATGTTAATATTTTGTACTTTAACACTGGATTATTGGCTTTGAAAGAGAGTGATAGAAGAGTTGCGGGGTATGGACTTCTCATTTTGAAGAGGCCTTCCTCTGAGAATAATCACTACACACGTTTTAGTCTCGGTGTTTGATTCACGACTGGTGGTGCCTATTGATGCATATATCAAATGACACATGTTGCATCTAATTTGGATAGCTGAATACATCATTTGTGCACGTCTATTATATAGAGTAGTATTCTTTACTTTGAGTGATCTATGACTTTATTTATTTTTCATTTACAGTAAATCCAGAGAGATGATTGCTCGGGGAAGATCATATAGCTAGTGTTCGAGTGCCATCTAGACGTTTTTCTATATGGATTGCTTCTAATGTTTCTCCTTTGCTAATTTTAGGTTTCAAGGAAACTTGTGGATGATGCATCAAAGTTTTGAAAGACAAGGTTACTAAAGCTGTTGTCACAGTTCCTGCTTACTTCAATGATTCATGAAGGACCGAACCAAGGATGCTGGTCGTATTGCTGGCTTATAGATTCTCTGGATTATAAATGAACCTACTGCTGCTTCTTTGTCTTGTGGTTTTGAAACGAAAAGCAATGAAATCATTTTGGGACCTTGGAGGGGGAACTTTTGATGTTTCAAGTTTGAGATCTGTCTCATTTCTTCTTGTTTTCATTTTGGTGTCCCCCGTCTCTCAGGGACCTTTAACCTAAATTTCACTTAGCTACTGAAGATTATTATTATGTGTCATCAACACCAACTTGGCATGTGTCCAACTCATTGTATCTTAATTTAAGAAGAAATAGGATTGGAAAAATTGCTTTAATTGGATACTTCTTACACGTGTTGTACTTTGGTGGACTGGGATTACATAAAAATATTTAGCCAGCTTGCTGAATCTGATTTCCCATTACAAACAGTTGCTGCAATTTCAGATATTTGGTCATATCTTTGCCACCGTTCATATCTGAATCGCACACCTTAGAAATGTGCTAATGAATGTTGATAGCAATTCTGTATATTGGGTCTCAAAAATATTGCAATTTCTACGAAGATCTTATGCATGCTATGAATATTTTATTGATTTTTGCCCTATATGCCTATGATTTTAGTTCTTGAGGTTGGTGATGGCTTGTTTGAGGTCCTGTCTACTGCTGGTGACACACATCTTGGTGGTGATGACTTTGACAAGGCTCATAATCTCTGTTGCTACTTCTGTTGGAATGACTTGTTACTTCATTTGCTTGGGCCATTCTTTCATCAATACTAAATTGTTTGTTGCTAGATTTTGGCTTGTCTCTTGATACACTCTGTCATTCACATTTTAGGAGCTTCATCCAGATAATTGTTGATTGGCTGGCCTCAATTTTTTAGAAAGATGAAGGGATAGATCTTTTGAATGACAAACAAGCTCTTCAGCATCTGACTGAGACGGCCAAGAAAGCTAAAATGGAATTGTCATCTTTGGCACAAACTAATCTCAGGCAAGTTTATAGTTTACACTTCTTGCTTGCATAAATACTGACTTCTTTTTCCTTTTCTTCTCTAGTTTGCCTTACATTGCGGCCACTGCAGATGGCCCCAAACATATTGAAACTATGTTTACAGGAGCTAAGCTTGAAGAATTGTGCTCAGATTTGCTTGACATGTGTTAGGAGCTGGGAGCAGCTTTTGAGCTTGTTATTAATATTTTATTGACTTAGCTCCTATCCCTTTTTGCACAGAGCATATTTTGGAGGTCTCCTTGCTCCCCATTAGGCTAAAGAAACATGTTCAAAATGCCTTGAAGGATGCAAAGCTGTCTGATAAATGTGTTTTTGCACACTTATTTACATCACAAACATGACTTAAATACAAGTAAAATGATTGAATTGTTACTTAACTCTGTCAAATTCATGCAATGTAGGAAATTCTATGGAAATAGTGGAATTCAGGAGAAAAGAGCCGAAAAAGGACCAAATTGGAGCAAAATGATAATTCAGGGACCAAATTGCAATTATCTGAAAGTTGACCCAATGAACACATCAAGCAATTGATCAAGCCAAGCACCAATTGAAAGTTATAAGGAAATATTGGAGCAACTAGGAACAAGAGAGAAGGTCAAGGAGTGAAGGAATGAAACTTGAGGACCAAAATGACTCAAACAAGAAAGTAGCTCTACTATGCGGTCGCATAGTGTAAAACCTATGCGACCGCGAGTGAGCCTCCAGGGATTAAAAATGGCGTTTTTCTTAAACCTATGCGGTCGCATAGGTATAAATTTT